CCGGTTGAATTTTTAGCTGAAATTTGGTATGAGTAAACTAGACTTAATGAAGAAGATGCTCAAGAAATTTCATCAAAAAATTCCACCGGAAACCGCTCCAATTGGTGACGGCCGGGCAAAACCTTCTATATAAGGATCGAGTTGCACTTTTTAAATTAGTTGGAGGGCCTATTTGACCCTTTAGCCAAAAAACTCTTTTCAAGTTGTCCCTAAAAAGATCCAAAAGCATATCTACTAATGTTTACTAATACATAATTAAAGATGATTAAAGTCAAAATTGTGTGTAGGCAAGCATGAAAGTCAAACTTTCTAAAAAATTGTTAAAGCTTTCAATGTGATCTCAAACTTTCTAAAAATTCATTTTTGGAAATGTTTTCTAGAGAGACCTCAAAATCTTTTCTAAAATAACTCGCTAAAACAGATCTCGTTCAAATTTAACTTTATGTGGCCTATGTTGACTTTGGGCCCGTGATCTGTACTCAATGAACTCACTGAGCATCAAAATTATTACTTATGATAACTCCTCGCATAAAATATTGATTCTTTTAAAGTGACATAACTAACATGATCAGAAGACTTACTTTACATTAGAGCACGTTTGCTCTGAGTGCTATGACTTTTGTCTCTTAGGGTCTGGTTGTTCAGATGGACCAAAGAGTCTTCCCTCGATACTGTCCCACACTTCTCTAAATGTTTTAGCCTAATTCAATGGAGAAACTTTGGGGTTTAAAAATAGCAAAAGTAGGGGGTGGGGAAGCTATATAACTTTAGTAAACCTGATTGAGTAAAGAATCAAGAAAATCTCCCAATTCATTCGGCAGGTGTTTCTCTCTATCCATATTGCACGGGTGGCGAGAGATCTATACAAACAAACTTAGGGTTAGGTGCAATGAGAATGGCAATAATTACAATATGTATTTTGCTACAAATCAGAGAGCAACATATTACCATTTCAGATTGTTCGTGAAAGCTCCTTCTAATAGCAACCCGAGCACGATAAGTCTCCCAGATTACTTCCATAGCGTCTTCAACCAAGTTTCGATATTTTTTACCTCCTCTCCTCACAAGCCTTTTAATCTCTACGCACATATCTTCAAATGGCAATCCTTTAAAAAGCTATAATAGAGACATAATAAATACTCCAATCAGAGAAACAGCATGGACAAAGAATGATTGAATGGAATTAGTCAAGGCCTAAGAATACTCCAACCAAGGTCACAGCGTGTAAGCAAGGTGCGGTGTCAACGAGTGGCCTTGTCACCTAGGTGACATCTAGGCATCAAGGAGCCGTGTGATGTGATATGGTATGGTACAGTACGGCATGGTATGATATCATTAGATACTATACTCCAAACAGAGACAACATAAGCAAAAAAGGAAAGAAACAAAATTGTTCACAAGTAGATATTCTGGCCTTCATTTGGTCTTCCAAGTGCCCCTTAGAGTTTGAAAGGTTCAGAGACATTTTTCCTTCTTCAGCAGACTTCCTATCTTGATCTTTATGATTTTCAAGCTCTTTCATCTTCTTGAGGATGTTATGCACAACATCCTTAAATTTGGTGACTTCGAACCACCCATACTGTCAAAAGAAAAGCCATAAAAGAACATGTATCATTTTAAGATAGATTTTAAGCGAGGCAAAGTCACAAACACAAAAAAGTGATAGAATGGTGCGAGGTAAGGTTCCAACGCATCATTAAAATGACTTGTTTCTTAAAAGGAACATAAATACTGGTGAGCATAAAATACAAAACGCCTTTGAGTGTATTTAACACAATATACTATTAAGAAAAAGGTACTCCTTTTGAAAGGAAATGAAAAAGGTACTCCTTTTGAAAAAAAAAAGGTACTCCTTACTACGTATATATTGGGAACAGAAGAAATGAAAAGATATAAATTTTTTGGCGGATATTTTTCTTCAATCGATTTCAATGCATCGTCTGGATTGCAAGGTTGATGAGTGAAGAGCCTAAATGATATCACAAGACTTTCTACATGTGTATCTGGAATATTCCTAAATCTCTATAATCTAGTGTCTTACCAGAGCAAATATTTTATCATCAAGATGAGTGGGTTTATCATCATGACCCTCACATTCATCTTGAAGCACAAATTTATCCAGTTCCCCTTCATTTACTAGGAAAGTACCAGTTTGATTGAATACATCTCTTATATGTTCTTCAGATTTACTTCTTCTGAGCGGAACCCCGGACTTCTGAAACAAATACTCCGTATATCATAAAACACATTACAGGTAGCAAACTTCTCACTTCAAAATTACACTGAGGACGACAGTGAAATCACTCACCTCGTGTAGACTTTTAAGGCTATGTTGAAGACAAGTCCATGTCTCTGTTGTGTCCAAAAAGGCAGATACAAGAGACGTAAAGCTTTCGATATCAAAAAACAGTTGCGTATAAGGTGCCTGTTTACAAATAAATGAATAAACAAATCAATCAACGAAATGAATGAGTAAATGAATGACTAAACGCATATATAGATACATAGACACAGAGGAATGTTCATGTCAGGCCGGCCTGACGGGCTGCCCCGTCCGGCCGAGCCCGTTTGGACACCTTCCCGGTGGAATTTTTTGATGAAATTTTTTGAGCATGTTCCTCATCAAGTCTAGTTTGTCCATACCAAATTTCAGCTCAAAATTCGATCGGGAAGGTTGTCAAATGATTTTTGCAAGTTAACTGGTCCGGAATATGTATTTTCCGGACCAGTTAACTTGCAAAAATCATTTGACGACCTTCCTGATTGAATTTTGAGCTGAAATTTGGTATGGACAAACTAGACTTGATGAGGAACATGCTCAAAAAATTTCATTAAAAAATTACACCGGGAAGGTGCCCAAACGGGCTCGGCCGGACGGGGCAGCCCGTCAGGCCGGCCTGATGAGAAGAGCTCTCCATAGACACATAAACAAACAAATAAATAGATAAATAAATAAATAAATAAATAAATAAATAAATAAATAAATAAATAAATAAATAAATAAATAAATATATAATTAGTTGAGCGTGGAAAATTGTGCGTTATTTTTCTCGTACCTGGATTTGGGCAAATTTAGAGTGTAGATAGTTGTCAAATTCCACAATCGCCTTTGTCTTCTCGGAACACTCGTTGCAGGGGCAGACCTTCGAGAAATCATATTTGAGTAGCCTTACCGGTGGCACAACCGCCCTTATACCGCAAGGCATTCTTTGAAAATAACGACGGAGAGGAAAGGCCGGATGATGAGGGGAAGGAGATGGGCGTGAGTCTCCTTTGGAAGTTTTATTAGAGACGGAAGTAGTAACTTTTTGTTTTTAATTGTGGTGTATGATAGGACACAACACGGATTTCTTTTGAGTTTTTTTTTAAATTAGTTTTAGATGTCCTATCTTAAATTAAGTTTCTAGTATATTTTATTTATGTTTTTTATTTTTTATTTGAATCTATCGAATTAATTTTTTATCATGTTTTTTGCTTATGTGAAAAAGAAATAATACTCTCTCCGTCCCGCTATTAACTTCATACTTTGACCTACACACATATTTAGGAAATAAATTTGATTTTACTTTTTAGACACTGTTTGACACTGTTTAGACACTATTTGGCAATGTTTAGACATTGTTTGACACTGTTTAGACACTGTTTGACACTATTTTGAAGTGCACTTTTGAATGTGTAGCCCGAGTCCAGCCCTACCCCTTACCCCCCAAAACACCCAGCCCCAACCCATAATAAACAAAATAAAATTGGAAGAAAGAAAACGAACCCGGCCAGGAACGGCAAGGACGGTTTGTGTTTTGGGTGACCCGCGCCCGCACCGGAAACCCCCGGGCCGGGCCTACCCAGACCGATCCCTGGCCAAGCCACCGGTTTGGGCAGGGCCCAAAAAATGCCAGGCCGGTCCGGTTCCGATCGGGCCACCCGGCCCAAGTCCACCCATACAAGTGTAAGTGGAATTAATTGTGGTGTTGGTGAATAGTGTAACTAATGCTGAAGAAGTACTATATCAGGCTGAAATGAGGGAAAGTTATTCCATTTGATGTTTTGATTGAGACTTATCAAGGCCCAAATATTAGGGGTGGATTCGGCTTGGGCCTGGCCGGGCTTTTATTTGGGAAAGTGGAATCAGAACCGGCCCGAGTAGCAGGCAGTTCCGGACCGGGCCAAAACCAAGCCAGTTCCGGTTAATTTTATTTTTATTTTTTTCTTTTGTTTTCAACCCCCCCCCCCCCTCCTTTCCTCACTCACCCCCAAAACACCCAACCCAGGCCTATCTTGGAAGAATTGACTAGGGAATTAATTTCAATGCCTCATTGTATTTTGAAAATTGCATTGGTGGATTTAGGCCTGGACTCGGGCCGGTTCGGGTCTGGGCCCGACCGGGCCTCGGGCCAGGAAAGGGGAGGCCCGAGCCCGAACCGCCAGTGGCCGGTTCCGGTTCCGGTTCCGGGCCAAACCGGGCCGGGCCAAATCAGCCCAATTAATTTTTTTTTTGGTTCTCCTATTTAATCCCCTACCCCTCGGCCCTCCCCCTCAACCCCAAACCACCTCAAATGGCCCAAAATACCTATTCCAACCCAAAACATTAAAAAAAATTCAAAAAAAAAAATCCGGCCCAGACCGGGCCCGAACCGGCCGGGCCGGTTCACCATATGGAAGGCCCGGGCCTGGAACCAGGAACCACCGGGCCGGTTCGACCCGAACCGCTGGTGGACCAGGCCACCAGGCCGGGCCGGTTACTACAGTGGCCGGGCCGGGCCGGTTCCGGGTCGAGCCGCCCGGCCCGAGTCCAGGCCTAGGTGGATTACTAGTAAATAAGAAAAACTAAAAAATAAAAGAGCAGGCCCAGCCCAGAACGGGCCCAGTACCAGTTAATTCCCGGGCCGATGCCAGGCTTCACCCCAGTCGGCCAGTCCCCAGTCCCCAGATAATCAAGCCCACCCGGGCCCGAATAGGTACCGGACAGGGCCATCCCTATTTGGAGCATCTGTCTACTGACTACAATGTTCAATTAATATTTCAGCCACACTCTGACACTGTACAGTCTACACAATGTAAAGGCAACACACATTACAATTACTTAATTACTTAATGTCTTAATATTCCGAAAGATTAAAAAGTATAACAATTGTTTACACTGAAAAGTAACTCATAAAAATATATAATAGGATTAATAGATAAACATTAACAAAAGAGACTTACTCAAATTTAAACTGACGTTAATAACTCAAGTATATATACTTCGTATATAACTAGTCAAGGTCTTTCACGTTAACTCATCGTGCCACACCACCTTTCAAATCGATCATTATCTTCCTAGATCAGTCTTGGCACCACCTTTCAAATCGATCATTATCTTCCTAGATCAGTCTTCCTAGATCGGTATCTGTACATGCGAAGAAACACTTGTAAGATTACACTGAATAATCCACACAAAAAAACATTCCACACGTCTATGCTAATTGTGAATAGATAAGCTTTGGCCAAAATTCTAGGCAGAATTGGGTAATATGTCACAAATGACTTTAAGCCTATTAACATTCTCAAGGGAATCCATTACTTTTTAAGTATCTACTAATGTTTACTAATATAGTAATACATAATTAAAGATGATTAAAGTCAAAATTGTGTGTTGGCAAACGTGAAAGTAAAACTTTTTAAAAAATTGTTCAAGCTTTCAATTTTCAAATGTGAACTCAAACAACTTTTTTTTTTTTGAAAACATCTCAAACAACTTTTTAAAAATTGTTTTTAGAAGTTTTCAGAGAAACCTCAAAATCTTTTCTAAAATAACCTGCTAAAAGAGATCTCGTGTAATTTTAACTTTATGTGGACAATTTTTACTTTGGGCCCGTGATCTGTGCTCAATGATGTCATTCCGCCAGTTCAGGGGAGCAACTCACTAAGCATCAAAATTATTATTTATGATAACTCCTCGCATTAATTATTGATTCTTTTTATGGTGACATTTGATTAAAACATCACTAAACAACTTAAAGTGACATAACTAGCATGATCTTATATATGCCAAAGAACTAGTGGATCACAAGTTCAACAAATACAACAACTAATCACATATGACCACGTGTACTTATTATTATCTATTTTAAAATCAATCAAACTTCTTTCTTTTGGTTGAACAAGCCTGTAAAGGTAGTAGTGAACTTAAATGTTAAAACATGAACTCAAAATATTGAAATAAGTGTGGCACCTTGGATAAGTGTTCAAGTAAGCACCTCTGTTGATTAATGGTTGAAATTGTAAATAAGAAATTTCAAAATTCAAAACATCCCTCTTCTTTAAAACAATGATTCGAAGTCGGATGCCTCTCCGCTATAGTGCAGGAGCTTAAAATATAAACCCTAATTCGAGGCTCTGATCCCACAGATTCCAACACAAAAATTAAACCCTAATTTCAGTAATTTGAGAAATCAATTGTGCAGCCGTGCATAACATAGCCTCTCATGCAAGTATTATTTCATTTGAATGGCCATTGATAGATAACCCAAAAGCTTCATAAACCCAAAAAGGCATTAGTAAATTGGTGATCCAAAGCTCTGAATAGTTCTCTTTTAAATAGAGAATATGACATTTTGAGAAAGGAAAGAAGAAAGGAGCAACTGCTAGGAGGAATGTAACCAGCTTTTCAACAGGTTTAATAAAGGCTATGTGTATACAAACCAGACATTTTAGTCTCTAAACAATGTCAGTCGGGTCAAATTACTTATTTGGGTGTCTAATGATCCTCAAAAAGAATGTTCTGACCCAATTTAAAAGGATTCACCCTTTTCAGAATAAATTGCTAAACTATGTAAAAATATATATTTATTCATTATAAATTATTAGAGCATACAGGTCAACGACGTTATCTGACACTAACAAAATATGATGAAATAATAAATTACATCATTCATGAAAGTGGCCTAATTAATGTATTAACAAAATGCAGTAGTTAATATGAATACAACATGCTAAACAATCAGGGTGTTACACACATGTTTTCATTTTTTAAACATGCAAAGCATGTATAAATTTAAATTTGCGAAGTACTGAACAGGTGTAGCGCTCAAGGTAGTCTAAGTCGAGCGCTTCAGCGCAAAAGCGCACGAGGCGCATCGCAATAGAGGTCCAGCGCTTGAAAGATGACCAGGCACACCCTCCTGTCTCAGGCGCAGCTTAGGCGCCTAAAGCGCAGAAGCGCCGATGCGAGAAAAGGCTTTGGTCGCCTGGGCTGGGAAAGGTGTATCAGCCTATTTTTTTTTTTGTTTGATCCTATTTTAAATAACAAGCCCATACTAATAATAAGATTTAGCCCGTCCAAAAATAGGTAAACACAACTTAAACCCATATTAAGCCCTATTTAGCCGTGGGAAAACTCTTGCGCAACATGCACAGCGCTAAAACACATTCATCTTCTTCATCTTCCCATGTTCTTTCTTCTTTTTCAGCTTGTAGTTTTCATTTATCTTGTCATCTTCTTCGTGATCCTTTCATTTTGTTTTTTCAATCTATCTTCTTTCTTACTTTTATCAGTTTCAGTCATTTACTAAGTAGTTTACTGGCTACTCGGCCCTTGACCGAGTTGCTACCGATTACTCGGGATTACTCGGTGATTACTCGGCCTGGTATTAATTAAATATAAAAATATTTAAATATAGTAGTCTTATAATATAGTAATAAAATTGTCTTTAAATTGTCTTAAAATGCATAGAAGTGAATAAAAGGATAGAAATCCTATTATCCTAATGATGGAGTAACAAATGTCATAAAGCAAAAGTGATAAAACAGTCAATCATCTAATAAGTTGGTCTGATATTAATCTTCATTGAATTCAAGGTCGTGATATAGGAGGGGTTTCTGTTGATGCGTTTGTTGATTGTTTATCTCTTCCTGAAATTTGTTTTCAAAAGCTATTCATTGTTGCCCATTCTAAAAATGCAAGTATAACATATGCATTGGTTTTGTGTTTTCATTCATTAATAAACCAGCTTACACAGTCAGATCTTACCCTACAACCAATAACATATGCCTCTTTTTAGTCCTAGAAGAAGCAACAAGATCAGGATATTCAACTGTGTGATTTCAACATAAAATAGGCTGGCCTTGGTGAACATTAAGGTGAAAGCCCCATGAAGGCTTAGGCACCATAAACCTTTGTTCATGCCAGGTACTCTTAAAATGAAGAAGAATTGAAAAAAAATGCAATCACATACATGATCAAGTATAATATGCCCTGAATGAAATAAGTTAAGTATATTCAATACAAGGAGAATAAGAAAAAAGACAGGGGAGGGGATTGTACGAAGCTCCAAACAGGGAAAATAAGAAACGAGACGCGGGGAAAGAACTTATCGGTCGGAGCTTCTAGCGTCGCAGCTCTAGGGAGTCGTAGGTCTTGTAGGTGTAGGTCTTGTAATCGCAGAATTTTGGGTCGAAGCTCCCCAGGTAGCAATGACCAGCGCAAGTTTTTAGGTTTTATAAGTGTGCAGGTCTTTTTTTTAAAAACCGAGTAGTAGCGAGTAACTCGCCACTTTGACCGACTCGCCGAGTTGCCTAACTCGCCGAGTACTAGCCGAGTAACTCGGAAAATTAACTTGGACCGAGTTAAGTGCTACTCTGCAAGGTGCCAGGCCGAGTTGGGAGTACTCGTTGAGTACTTGCCGAGTAGATAACCCAGGTCATTTATGCCTACTTCATGGTTCTTTTTGCTTCTAATATATGCTATACAACTCAAACATAATATATGTACCTGACCTACCAGTTTACATGTGACCAACATATTATTTCATCTTATTATACCAGTCTATAACTCTATCTTCCTAGTATCATTTCATAATTTAACTGTATAAAAACTTCATATAATCTAACTCAGTCAATAGTTTCATACACTATATGATTTATGCTATTCCTAGCGCTAAAATTGCAAAATCAACAAAGACAAACCCCATTCAGTGTTTTGTTTTTGTGAATTATGAGATTATTTTGGTGAATCATGACTTTATTTTTTAGAAACATGACTTTATTGATGCATTTAGTTCAATATGGTGGTGAATATATCATATAGGATCACTCTAGATTAGTATACATAAAATTTTCTAAAAAGTGCGCTTCACCCGAGTCAGACAAGCGCTTTTTTGCGCCTTGCGCCTCAGGCGATAAAAGTACTCTAGCGCCTTAAGTGCGCCTCGCGACTTTGACAACCTTGGTAGCGCTTTATCATCCTCTAGAAAAGGGTTATGGATAAGGCGCAAGAGAAGCACAAGAAGTGCAAGCCTTTAGTGCCTAGGTTGGGAAAGGCTTTTTGAGCTATTTTCATTTTGCAAATAAGGTTTGGTTCTGCTATAACAAAAAATATTTCGAATTAGATATATTTTATTCAAAAGATAGGGAAACAACAATATAATCCAATCGTAATGCAAAAATAGGTTGAGGCAGGGCAGTCAAATGGGCTAGAACCTAGCAAAAATCAATCTTTAGTCTTATTTTTACGTAATTACTTCTGAATTTATTTTTTTTGTTGTGAATCAAGACTTTGATTAGTGAAACATATTTTAATGCATTTCAATCAATCTGATGTTAAATATATCTTGTTTGATAATTCTAGAACGGTACACATAATAACTGGAATGCATGTTCGGCAATATAAGTGGACTGACACATTCCAACTTTCCAACATGGCAACATATCTTATTAGTACTTTAATGCCTTAAAAAGCACATTGTATCCTTGGAATAAAACAAAAACCCTATTGTGCAAAGCAGGTCCACTTGAGTATATTTTTCGAATGCTTCCTCTGTTTTTTGTTTATATGTAGTGTTTCTGAGGTCTACTTTTATTTCCTATTTCCTAATTTGGAAATCTTCGCCCTGAGATTTATTCTTTACCTTACATAACACCTTTGGTACTTTATATCTTTTTCTTACGCTTTCTACTATCTGGCCATACATGTGGTTAGGTAGGGAAGTACAAGATAATTCCAGCATGACAGAGGAAAGCATTCCCAAATACAGGGAAAATAACCTGAAATCATAATCAGAAGACTTACTTTACATTAGAGCACGTTTGCTCTGAGTGCTATAACTTTTGTCTCTTAGGGTCTGGTTCTTCAGATGGACCAAAGAGTCTTTCATCGATACGATCCCACACTTCTCTAAATGTTTTGGCCTAATTCAATGGTGAAACTTTGTTGTTTAAAAATAGCAAAAATAGGGGGTGGGGAAGCTATATAACTTCAGCAAACCTGATTGAGTAAATGATCCAGAAAATCTCCCAATTCATTCGGCAGGTGTTTCTCCCTATCCATTTTGCACGGGTGGCAAGAGATCTATACAAACAAACTTAGGGTTAGGTGCAATGAGAATGGCAATAATTACAATATGTATTTTGCTACAAATCAGAGGGCAACATTTTACCATTTCAGATTGTTCGTGAAACCTCTCTCTAATAGCAACCCGGGCACAATAAGTCTTCCAGATTGCTTCCATAGCGTCTTCAACCAAGTCTTGATATTTTGTACCTCCTCTCCTCAAAAGCAATTTAATTTCTACGTGCATATCTTCAAATGGAAACCCTTTAAAAAGCTATAATAGAGACATAATAAATACTCCAATCAGAGAAACAGCATGGACAAAGAATGATTGAATGGAATTAGTCAAGGCCTAAGAATACTCCAACCAAGGTCATAGCGTGTAAGCAAGGTGCGGCGTCAAGTAGCCGCCTTGTCACCTAGGTGACATCTAGGCATCAAGGAACCGTGTGATGTGATATGGTATAGTACAGTACGGTATGCTATGATATCATTAGATACTATACTCCAAACCGAGACAACATAAGCAAAAAAGGAAAACAACAAAATTGTTCACAAGTAGATATTCTAGCCTTCATTTGGTCTTCCAAGTGCTTCTTAGAGTTTGAAAGGTTCAGAGACATTTTTCCTTCTTCAGCAGACTTCCCATCTTTATGTTTTTGATTTTCAAGCTCTTTCATCTTCCTGAGGATGTCATGCACAACATCCTTAAATTTGGTGGATTCGAACCACCAATGCTGTCAAAAGAAAAGCCATAAAAGAACATGTATCATTTTAAGATAGATTTTAAGCAAGGCAAAGTCACAAACGCAATAAAGTGATAGAATGATGTGAGGTTAGGTTCCAATGCATCATTAAAATGACTTATTTCTTAAAAGGAACAAAAGTACTATTGAGCATAAAATACAAAACGCCTTTGAGGGTATTTAACACAATATGCTATTAAAAAAAAGGTAATCCTTACTACGTATTTATTGGGAACAAAAGAAATGAAAAGATATAATATTTTTGGCGGATATCTTTCTTCAATCGATTTCATTATTTCAATGCATCCTCTGGATTGCAAGGTTGATCAGTGAAGAGCCTAAATGATATCAGAAGACTCTCTACATGTGTATCTGGAATATTCCTAAATTTCTATAATCTAGTGTCTTACCATAACACGTATTTTATCATCAAGATGAGTGGGTTTATTATCATGACCCTCACATTCATCTTGAAGCACAAAGTTATCCAATTCCCCTTCATTTACCAGGAAAGTACCAGTTTGATTCAATACATCTCTTATATGTTCTTCAGAATTACTTCTTGTGTGCGAGACCCCGGACTTCTGAAACAAATATATCATAAAACACATTACAGATAGCAAACTTCTCACTTCAAAACTACTCTGAGGACGACAGTCTGGTGAAATCACTCACCTCGTGTAGACTTTTAAGGCTATGTTGAAGGCAAGTCCATGTCTTTGTTGTCTCCCAAAAGGCATTTAAAAGAGACGTAAAGCGTTCGATATCAAAAAACAGTTGTGTATAAGGTTCCTGTTTATTTATTTACAAATAAATGAGTGAATAAATCAATCAATGAAATGAATGAGCAAATGAATGACTAAACGCATATATATAGACACATAAACACATAAATAAATAAATCAATAGATAAATAAATAAATAAATGAATGAATGAATGAATGAATGAATGAATAAATAAATAAATAAATAAATAAATAAATAAATAAATAAATAAATAAATAAATAAATAAATAAATAAATAAATAAATAAATAAATAAATAAATAAATAAATAAATAAATAAATAAATAAATAAATAAATAAATAAATAAATAAATAAATAAATAAATAAGTACGTAAATAAATAAATGAATAAATAAATAAATAAATAAATGAATAAATAAATTAATGAATGAATAAATAAATAAATAAATAAATAAATAAATAAATAAATAAATAAATAAATAAATAAATAAATAAATAAATAAATAAATAAATAACTTCACGTAGCCTATTTTTTAAGGTTATTTAGCATTTTTTCCCATAAATAAATAAATAAGTACGTAAATAAATAAATAAATAAAAATATAAATAAAAATATAAATCAATTAATCTATAAATAAATAAACAAACAAACAATAAGCATATAATTAGTTGAGCGTGGAATATTGTGCGTTGTTTTTCTCGTACCTGGATTTGGGCAAATTTAGAGTGTAGATAGTTCTCAAATTCCACAATCGCCTTTGTCTTCAATGAACATTCGTTGCAGGGGCAGACCTTCGAAAAATCATATTTGAGTAGCCTTACCGGTGGCACAATCGCCCTTATACCGCAAGGCATTCTTTGAAAATAACGACGGAGAGGAAAGGCCGGATGATGAGGGGAAGGAGATGGGCGTGAGTCTGATTAGGGTTGATGGATGTCCGGATCAGTCTGAAATTATCTTTCCAAAAATAGACTTTGCTGAAATTTTCTTTTCAATAGTAAGATTGTAGGCTCCGCAGATTCGCAGAACATTAAACGGGAAGCTTTTGTCCTGAGAAGCGTACATGACAAAAGTTAACAACTTAAAGCCACGTTACTTACAAAGCAATAGAACAAAAAAAGTACACCAAATTACACTACTTTTTGTTTTTAAATCAAAACTACAAAACAGAAATGGCAAAATTATTAAAAATTAAAAAAGATAAATCGAAATACAAGAAGTAATAAAAGTCTAAAAACGTGGGAACACTCACATATAATCCAATGTGATACACAATAGAGCTAATATAAATAATACATTGTGCGAGCCCATTGTGTTTCACATTGGGTGTAAATGTGGTGTTCGCACGTTCTCACGTTAAGCGTTGTTCTCATTTGATCCTAAACACACACACACACACACACTCATATATATATGTGAGTGTTCCCACGTTAAGCATCGTTCTCATTGAAATCACACTACACATATTTATAATAAGAGATTAAAAGTATATGCAAATACGATAAATTAAATCTATATGGGGACACTCGTGGGGGACAACGGGGTGGGGCGGGGATGGGGCGCGTCCAGGAGTAACGGGGGATGGGGCAGGGATGGGAGGAACTTTTTAGACATGGGGCGGGGATGGGGGAGTGTACCCCCCGCCCCAAACCCGCCCCATTGCCATCCTTACTCTTGTGAGTTAACAGAAGGCCAAGAGCCTTTGCACCTCTGTGAGTCTATCCCGACAGAACCCGTATAAGAAGACCATCCGCTGCCAGTCTATTCTTCAACAGAACATGCTATACTGTTAACTTTGGTACTTAGCTTGAAAAAGTTAAAAACCATAACAGTCTATTCACCCCTCTCTAGACTGTTACCTTGATAACCGGGACCAACATTGATCAAATGTATGTATCTTGAATGTCAAAAGCTTGTTGAGAAACTTACCCCTTACAATGAGCATTTGAACAGACCTGCAGATGCCGCTGATGTTTTTTATTTTTTATTTTTTATTGCATAATTTACACCCATGAGTAAAAGAATTATCCTTTAGACACTATTTAAATTATTTATCCAGCTCTTAAACACCACCTTTAGTATGTCTATCACGGTATGATTGCTATATACGTAATTAATAAATCTTCTAAAGATCTGAAACTCTTGGAAAAAATATATAAATATTTATTTTAATATATTTATTGGATACATTAAAGTAAAAAATAACTTTTACCTTTTGTAGATCAGAACAAAAATATGATTTCAACTGAAATTGTCCCTGATTAGAAAGGTGAACACATATAAAACTTCCAAGTTGACCAGCATGAGGAATAATTATGTAAAAGTTGTGTAGTTGAGATTTATAAACCGGAGAAAGAAATAATAATAACCAAAAATTATTTGATTAAAATGAAACTGAGAAAGTTTTTGGGACAACAAAAATTACTTGCTTAAAATAGTATAGTGTATCAACCTTTAACAAACCCCCAACATCTTAATTAAAAGGATGACACCCCATCCCTGAGGGCCCCCCAACACCGACCGGACGGCACGATGGGAGGATGTAAATTGGACTATAATCACAATCTGACAGATAGAGAGTGGGGCTCTGTCCCCGGTACTTGCAGGAGCCCTATGCATTTTTCAGCATAGTAACACCTCATCGCAGTTGCCGGGATTCGAACCCGAGACCTAACCCTTGTGGCACTCTCTCGCTACCAGTTGAGCTACGCCCACCGGTAATAAAACTAAGGTATGGGTATTCTTTTTATAGTGACTAGCTCCACCGCTTTCACGGCCCCTTACCCCAGAAACCCAACTTTGGCTTGGCCCTACGGGTTAGTATACACCGCTTGGCCCTACCACTTGAAGGGTTTTTTGGGGGAGCATAGTTCCACTGGTGCTAGTGGGACTCGAACACGAGACCTCTCCTATGCAAGGATAACCTCAAAGCCAGCTAAGCTGGAAGTGATGGTTGAAACTAAGGTATGAGTAAACTTTTTATAGTGACTAGCTCCACCGCTTTCACGGCCCCTTACCCCAGAAACCCAACTTTGGCTTGGCCCTACGGGTTAGTATACACCGCTTGGCCCTACCACTTGAAGGGTTTTTTGGGGGAGCATAGTTCCACTGGTGCTAGTGGGAATCGAACACGAGACCTCTCCTATGCAAGGATAACCTCACAACCAGCTAAGCTGGAAGTGATGGTTCCCCAACATCTTAATTGTGAGGCAATGGAGTGTCATTACTTTTTCCTAAATCGGCTATTAAATGCGGTAGTAATGTTAGTAGGACTTAAGTTTATTAATCCCTCCGTCTCAGCTAAAGGTTCCTATATTTTTCAATCTAAATATATGGTTGATGGAGGGTTTTAGGCTCAAAATTTGTCTTAAGTGGACCCAACTTTTTTTTTTTTGAAGATCAAATAACTAATTTATTATTAAGCGATAGCAAAAATACAAGAGAATGAATAGCCTGAGGCTACAATGGGATGAGACATAGAACGGAATAGATTCAATGAATCCTTCCAGATCGCTAACCCCGCAATAATGTAGTCTAGTCTAACAGCCTTGCTGATCTTCTTGCTACTCCAAAGAGAAATTAAAAAATTACAACTAAAAGATCGGGCTTCATCAGCCATTGGAAAGGGAGAATTGGTTTGACCAGCAACCAACAAAGGGAAATCATTCGAGTAGAAATTTCTTGAAGCATCGGTTTGACCAGCCACCGACAAGGAGATCCGCTTGATCATCTTCTTCTTCCCTGAGTGAGGCGGTGGTTCAGGTGGTGGGCGAGTATTTGAAACATCAGAACAACAAGGTTGAAAAAGCTTCACCAGATCGATCACACCGATTAGAAACGCACACCCTCTAGACATTGCTAGGAGAATAACATACCACACGCTCACATGAAGCGGACAAAATTCTCGGCCAATGAAGAAGCCGGACCAAATTCCTTGAAAATAGAAATTGAAAAAGAGCGAAATCATAGAAAAACCGTTGATTCGATCTTTCATTGCATAGAGAATGTCTTCATCTTCCAAAATCGGATCTTGAAGGAGGTTGGGGATCGGATGGTCGCCTGGGGTTTCCCCTAGGCGACCATCAAGTGGATTAGAAGGGTTTTCTATTGACACTTAAAAGTGGACCCAACTTTTAAAATTAAGTGGATTAGAAGGGTTTTCTATTGACACTTACATGCAATAAATAAAATGCCTCCATCAACGGTATATTTAGATACTACCTCCGTCCCAAAAAAATTGTCATTTTCAAAACTTTGACCGACTATATCTTTTTATTGAAAATTATTTATAATATAAAAATTATATGAAAATGTTCTTTGTTAAAAGTATTTTCATAAAAGTATAAAATTTATAGCTTCCATATTACTATACTAATCAAAATCAAGGTTCAAATTTTTGAAAAGGGCAAAGTTTTTTGGGACGAAGGTAGTATTTTTTATTTTTCGATATGTAATATTGGTTTCATATTGAAGATAATAATAACTTGTAAATTTTGATACTACCTCCGTCTCATTTTATGTGTGTTAGTTTGACTTGACGCGATTTTTTGAAGTGGTTGAAAAGTAAAAGTTGTGGTTGATATTTGAGTATAATAAAGTGAAATGGTGTAGACCACATACTTCTTTCCAAAAAAGGAAAGAATACACTTATTTTGGGACAGGTAAAATGGGACGGAGGGATACATTTTTGTAAAAATCAAATTATAAATATAAAGAGTTAGAGCGATTGGAGGGAAATAGCCCTTCAAAAATTATTTAATTCAATCTAATAACTACATATACTAAACCAAAAATATAATAAACTGAAATATATGAGAATAAAATATTCTAAGCACTTCAAATCATTACAATAAAATTGTTTAAAAAATTTCTAATAACTTCATAATCATTCCTAAAACTGGGTAAAGAGTGGAACATCATAAATGAAAGTGGGGAAAATTAAAATAGCAAATCTATATGTGTTAAAATTTGATAAATTTACATTTGCTTAAATGTTATCTCAAATTTATGTTTGTCTTTCTAATTAAGGATATTATCATTAGGATGTCACAAAACTATATATTCTGAGCTCTTTTCGTAAAGAAAAAGGTCAAAGGACTAATTGACAAAATTTTAAAACCTAGAAGGCCTAATGCTATAAATTAGTGATTTTCCATTAGTAAAACTAAAAACGAAATCATTTTATCTCGTGCACGGCACGAGTAAAGTGTTTTTAAATTGGGTGTCCCAAAGATGTAGCTAATACTTTCTCCTCCCTTGCAAGTGTCCTTTATGTTTTCTGTTTTTTTAAGTCTTAATTGACTTTTTTGTTGTTTCAATTTGGGTTATTTTTACATAAATGTTTTAAAACTCAATATCCCTTTATTGCAGCATGAAATTACGGTATATAATAATGAGATCTCAAATTTAAAGCTTGGATCCACTACTATTTTAAAAAGGATGAGTTCCCAAAATAGGAGAAAAAAGTTTTAAAATTTGAGAATAGGACTACCTGATTTTTATTTCCTAAATAAAAGTAATTTCTGTAAAATTTGATATTATCAAACTTTAAACATGACGGTTTTTGCTAAGTTTTTTCCAAACTTGGTAGAAATTACTCCTATTTAGATAATAAAAACATGAAGATCCTATTTTGAAATTTCAAAATGTTTTTATTCATATTTAAGGCAATCTCTGTCTCAAAAAAGTTTAGAGCATAAAAACTTCCATATTTCCTACATTTAAAAGTAATAATTTTTTTACATATGCAATATTGGTGTGATAATAAAAAAATCATAAATTTTGATATATTTTTTATAAAAATTGAATTACAAATAAAAAAGTTATATCAAATAAAAAGATTGAGAGTTTTTTTTGGGCTGGGGTCCCATGAAGTATTCTTACTTGAGTACAATTCCATAAACTGAATACTAAGGATTAAGGAGAATTCCAATTCTCGTATATAACATAAATTCCAAAGTGAAGTAGTATAATAATTCGTATACTGAATTGGAAAGAGAATTTTAAATATGATAATAAACTTTTATTTAGAAGATGACACATGACAAAACTTTCC